ACGCAAAGAAAGAAGGCGTAACTTTTATTCTCGCTGTAGTATTGTTGCCGCCGCCGCCATGTCGTGAAGGCGCTGTGTGCTTCGTTGTGAAAGCGAAACTACTTTGTTTGGCCTTCCAAAAATGGACACGACTAGAAATCAGTGGTTAAGTTGTATTTACAACACCGTTCCAGAACACTTCAACCCAAATATTCAGATGTGTGCAGCACATTTTATGGAGGACTGTTTCCTGATCCTGGGAAAGTAGACTACAATGCCGGCTGTTCTGACTCGCAGACTGTAAGTACGTTTTTTTATATTTAAATAATTTGCCACTGATGATTCAAACCCGAACACCTCGCTTTTCAGACCGATGGGCTTTGTAAAAATCGACGCGTTTCAGAAAGGCGGGGCATAGAGGAGAAACAATAATGTACAGTATGTGGAAAATAATGTGTTTTTTTTAACCTTAAACCGCATAAACACATTTCATTACACCAAATACACAAAATAATGTTCTTTTTAGCAACATCATATGACCCCTTGTTAAATAAATTAAACAACAACAAACACAGCAGAGAGATAGAAAGGAAATTGGTCTTAATGAATACCGATTACACATTATTCAATTCAATTCAATTCAAGTTTATTTGTATAGCGCTTTTCATATTATCACACATAAACTGAAACTGATGCTTATAAGTGGGTGTAGATCATCTATAATAAATATACTATATACTAATTATATCTAATAGACTATATCCATTACCTAATTAGTTTTAAAACATAACAGAAAAAAAAAACACCTAAGCTAAAATACATTCTCATGACTCCCAAATAAAGTAAAATTAAAATAATTTATGGACATTTTTATTTTATTAAGTTTTAGTTTCATGGTATATTCTGAGAAATTCAACACCTTTAAACTGGTTTTAAATTATACTTTTAAAAAAACGATATAAACTGAAAACAGAAAACTCTGAAAAAGTGAAACTTAAAAATTTTAAATTTCAGAATTATAACGATCCTGAAATTTGTTAATATTATTGTTTTATATTTTACAATTTTTATGTTTTAAATTTTAAAAGATGCTGTTTTTATTCAATAGATCATTAAAATGTGTATCATGAATTGTAAAATACTGTGTTTAGTTATTGATGGCCCTAAAATACTAAAACTAAACTAAAACTTAATGATAGTGAATCTAACAAAAACTAAAGTAAATTGAAAAAAGAAGAACAAATCATAATAATAATATTGATAAATATTATGATTAATATTTTAATTTGCATATATTTTAAAATATGCTATTTTTATTCAATAGATGGAAAATCTAAATCAAAAATTGTGAAATGTTGGTATAGTTATTGGCAACTATTGTGACAACACTATCACAATATACTCAGTCAAAACATATAAAAAGCATACAACATGGACAACAAACATGTTAAAACCAAACCTGTTCTTCTGGTGCTGTTTCATGTCAAAATTCCCTCTACACAGGCCTGAAGCAACATGGTGTCTTCTAAAGCCTGAGTCTATCTCCTGCTAACAGGCCTTTTTTTATCCATACACAACCCTATAAAAGTGCAGCTGTGTCAGTGGAGCTCAAACCATTGAGCCATTCATCACAGGTGTCTGCAATTGTTTGGGAAACTGGCAGCCATCCTGGCTCTTGGCACAAACCGTTTGGCCGGAGCCAAAATGGCCCCTAGCAAATCACACATTACTAAAGAGTTTCTGCATTTTCTGTCTCTGGCCGTCAGCACCATCACAGAGCAACATATTTATTTTTCCCACCAAGACATGTGCGCAGTCTTAATTCAGTGTGTAGAAACGACAGGATATGGAGTGTCATTACGCTTGATTAGATGGGAGAAACTTAAAGGATGGTGAAGAAAAAAACAGCACGATACACATCGAGCAATCATAACTTAATTTACTGTAATGTTTAGAATGGCTCCTTAAGTAAACACATCTCCATTGAGCTGCATCCCCTTTGAGAATTGGGTTTGTAGCTAACAGGCACTAAATTCTGAATAATTCAAAGCACTAAGTCATACCACAAAACACAATTCAACACACTGAAGGAAGTCTGGGGAAAAAAGTCTGATGAAATATGAAGAAATTACTTAAATGACCTAAACAAACTTTACAGTTTGAAAACTTTCAGACAAATAATTTGCTGTATTATCTATCAAACATTATGGCGTCTGCCTAGTGAGATACATATATGTATTTTATATACAAACAAACATATACACTATGTACAAATAAAATGTTTTGAAAAGAGTGTTTTATGCTCACCAAGGATGCATTTGATCAAAAATAGAGCAGAAATATTGAAATATTATTGTGAATATATAGGGTTGGTAAGATTTTTTTTATGTTTTCGAAAGAAGTCTCTTATATGCTCACCAGTGCTGTTTATTTAACATAAAATACAGTAAAAACAGTAATACAGTGAAATATTATTATAATTTAAAACAGCTTTTTTTCTATTGTAATATATTTTTAAATATATTTGATTCCTGTGAAGGTAAATCTGAATTTTCAGCATCATTATTCCAGTCTTCAGTGTCACATGATCCTTCAGAAATCATTCTAATATACTGATGCGCAATACACATTTCTTATTAGTATCAATGTTAAAAATAGTTGTGCTGCTAAATATTTTTGTAGAACCCATGACAATTTTTTATGGATTCTTTGATTAATAAAAAGCTCAAAAGAACAGGAATGTTTTTTCAAATGGTAGTGTATGTATATCTGAGACCCACTAAAAGCAATAAACTAGTAAGTAAAACAATAAATAAACGCATGGCTTGCAATTCATTCAGTAAGTTAACACACACATGAGTATGTTTGAGTCTTTATATATGTATACTGTAAATAGTGAGAAAGTGACATCGATTTTGAGAGCACTCTGTGCCCTTCTACCCAGGGGGAGTCTGGGTAGCCCTGGGGGCTGAGGTATGCCAGTTTACATCATTTATAAGGGTTATGATAAGCACACAGAGTTCCAGAGCTCCCTTATGACCCAAAAACCCACCGTTCCTTTTCATGCTACCCTTTCATGAAGATCCAAGAAACTCCCGCTGTCCCCTGAGACTGTGTGCAGTGGAGGCGCCTTCACAGACGGGCCACTTTGAGTGGTCGAGATGCGGTGAGTGCTTTGGGTAACAGGAACCAATGAAGCAGTTGGAAGCTATGCAGCTGTAACTTCCCAGTCCAGATCAATCATGGATAGATCTAAAGAGTACCAAATCTATTGGTGCGTTCAAGTCATGTCGGATAGATCGTATTTACGAGTTGAACGCACATGAACGCCACCACAAAGTCGTTATTACGAGTGGGAAACTCGAAATTTTCTTTAAGCCCCGAGTTTCCGAGTTGGGGGCGTGTCAATGAGAAACATGGCAGAATCGATGGATGCAACGTCTGTAGTTGACGGTAAATTTTTGTTTAAATTGATAGTTTAGTTGTCCTATAAACTTAAATTGGTCATGTTCTTGTTACGCAGCTAGTTAATGAAATCCAAGTAAAAAAATGCAGACCCTGTTGTATTTTCTTGTAATTTATTAAAAGAAGGTACACAGCCATCTTGTGCCGACTAAACTGACTTGAACGCACCTGAAGTCGTAATTACGACTTGTCAACTCGTAAGTACGAACGTCCCAGGAGGACTTGAATGCAGTATCTGACAAGTACTTTTGCGGCTTATGTTCCTCGTTGAACTAAGTGGAAACCAATCATGCCCATTTTTAGTAGCCAGTAAGAAAGTTTATTTTCTTTCCACACTGCAGACATTTTATTTTCTTCTTCTTCTTGCTTTAAAGGCACAAAATATAAGATATTTTTATTAAAATATCCAAAAACCACTAGAACAGTGTTATATCCTCTGCGTATGTGACAAATAAAAATCTTGAATCTTGAATATATTTTGCTGATTTGTGTACTTACATTATCCCAAATGTTTCGAAGAATGTTTAAATCCAGAGAAATAAGCTATTTTAACTAGTGACACGGACCGTGTCCATAGTGTCATTGTGTCGCCTGCCAATGACGTCATAACCCCTCGATTTCCGGTTTTGTTTTGTAGAAAACATGGAAACACCAGAGGCTTTAATATGTTGTGCGTTTTAATAGACCGGTGACGACCGCACAGAGTAGCATTATAACAGAACTTTCAAATGTATCTAGTATACGATCAAACAGCGCTGCTTT